AGCATATCCATTTAAGGACGCAAACCTCCTGTTTTATTATTCCAATATTGCCCCCTTAACTATGAATGTCAGACGTAGCAAAGGGGCAATTGTAGTGAGGTGTACGAGTTCTTATCAATTATGACCGTCAGCTGCCAGAATATGCGAATATACGTAGTATAACGTAGATAAATACAAAGGTTCGATCTAGTGGAGTATCTATTTTCGTGTACACCTCCTTTGACTATATATAAAATATGTGATGTAGTCTACGTGCTGTCCAAGTCTAAAAAACTATGAAGGTCGATCTGGTCTATATAATTAGGCATCCCATTTTTTCTGTAGACTTCCTTGACTACATATTAAATGACGTGATGAAATTATGAGTGTGATAACTAGCTAAGTATTGTTGTACTTGTAAATGGGTGTTTGGTCGTAGTCAAACTTGTTAGAAAGGAGAGAGGGATTGGCGGAATATGATGGATGTATTATTGAGCCTCGAGGGCGAGGATATATTGAGTACAAGGCTTGAAGGGCAAGACGTCTCTCCTAGAGATAAGGTAGGAGACGGATTACAAATCCTAGACTACCAAACATATGTAACCCAAATATATCTCTAACATCCCCCCCCCCCACCCCCAGTCGTAGCGGTGGCGGCAGCCGAAGAAGAGCAGCGGCGGCTAGGTTAGGAGTGTGGTGGCGGTGCTCGAAGTAGGCGAGGAAACCGACAGCGTGACGAAGACACGCGCGGACGGTGGCATTCTCGCACCAAGGGAGGCGGCACGATGCACCATGGGAAGTCGACGCGCCCGGACGGCGAGTGGACTGCGGGCTGCGACGCTATGGCCCGAAGGGGCGACACAACGGCGGCTGGTAGGTCAGGGCTATAGTAGGAAGACCTCGGGGCGGCAGCGGGGACCGTGTTCTGCAATGCTACAGCCCGAAGAGGCGGTGTAGCGGCGGCTCCACAGGTCGGTGCAACCATGGGGACGGCCTTGGGCGGCGGCGCTGACCGCATGCAGTAGCGCTACAGCCCGAAGAGACGGTGTAGCGGCGACTCGCAGGTCGAGGAAGCCGCGTGGAGAACCACTAGCCGGGGGCGATGGCCTGACGGGAGGCAGCATGGACCCTAAGGGGCGACGCAGAGGCGACGACGGCTATAGGGGTAGCCGGCGGGAGGATCTCGGGGCGGCGGCATGGACCACGTTCCGCGACGCGACAGCCCGAAGGGGCGTCGATGGTAGCGGCGCGCGAGTTGGGGTAGCCGACGGGAAGACCTCGGGCGGTGACGCAGCGGTCCGAAGGGACGACACAGCGGCAACCTGTTGCTCGATGGGCGGTAGGCGCGTTCTCGGGGACGTGCTTGGCGAAGACAGGCATGTGATCGGTTGATCAGAACGACAGCGACGCTGTATGCGTCATGGCGGGGACGACGCGCAGATCGCAGTCGATGGCGACATTGTCGGTGATGTCCCGGGCAATGACGACGAAGACGGACCGGCGACGGAGACTGCGCGGATGAGCGGTCGGTAGCGACGCACAAAGGCATCCCTTGAGCGACGCGTCCGGCCTTGCCGTGCGGTTGATGACGAAGCAGCCGGTGTAGTCGATGCCTATGTCGGAGTAGAGGCGCGGGGGTCGACGGCGGCGGCGGACGACGCAAACCGATCAAGCATAGATCGGAAAACCAAAAAAAACGCCGATCAAGATGACCGGCGGGAGAGAAAAACTCGGAGCAAAGGCTCGAGAAAAAGACTCTCTAGGGCAGCCGGTCAATGACCGGGCGGACGAACCCTAGGTACGGGCGGCGCGGCCCCCGGCGGCGGTTATGGAGGCCGACTGCCCCCGGGGCGGCGCGCGGGGCGGAAGCGGCGGGTGACGGCTAGGGTTGGATCGGTTAGTCTGATACCATGTTGGAAAGGAGAGAGGGATTGGCGGAATATGATGGATGTATTATTGAGCCTCGAGGGCGAGTATATATTGAGTACAAGGCTTGAGGGCAAGACGCCTCTCCTAAAGATAAGGTAGGAAACAGATTATAAATGCTAGACTACCAAACATATGTAACCCAAATATATCTCTAACAAAACTTAACAACTTTGCGCATGTTACTATCACTGATGGTTGTTTCTTATCGAAACATCAAGGTATGTTAGTGAATGAGAGAACCCTCTGCGATACGGCAAAGTATTCGTTCAACTTGCTGCTCATACGTCCACATGAAATAATATCATGCACATTGCGTTTTATGTGTGGATTAGCATCAGCTTAAGGGTACGTGCATGTGAATGTCGAGTAGGAGTATTTGTAACTGAAGAAAGACTGACCGAGTCATCTATCTAGAGTCGTATTTAGTACTCCCTCCATCCGAAAATACTTGTTATTAAAATGGATAAAAAAATGTATCTAGAATTAAAATACATCTAGATACATCCCTTTTTATTTATTTTGACGACAAGTATTTTCGGACAGAGGGTTCATAGTCAAGTACAATCTATACACAGTTTAACACTCGACGGTCTGTTGTAAGATACATGCCTCGATCTCTAAGTTTTTCTAACATAATACTCCTCTGTTCCCAAACAAGAATGGCTGATTTAGTAGTAGACTAAAACAGTGACCCTTATTTTGAGACGGAGGGAGTACTTGCAAAACCAATGACACTTATTCTGCCAATGCACAAGGGGGTGCCTGGTGTGCAGGTCAGCATGTTGAATCGGTCCTGTAGCAAAAAATTGACTGAAAACCCCTACAAGGCTGAAGTAATCATCTGAGAAAAACCAAGTGTAAAAACACGACAAGACAAAAAATACATAGTTAAAATAGCCCTAAAGCACCGCCAAACGGGCACACGCGGTAGCAAAGATGACTTGGTGAAACACATAAGCAAAGCACACATCGAAGGACCACAATCCATGTCATCGTTCATAGCCAATAGCACCAAAGACTCAACTACAACATCCAACATGAGAATCCTGTCGAGGGCACCGAATCGCTATAACCGTGACTATCAGCTCCGCCAACACAAGAGAGAGAACTTAGACCTTGAACTGGATTTTTTTTATGTCGACTAGCTACCTATTTCTTTGTTCTTTATGAAACAAAGCTAACTACTATATTTTGGATTAAGTAGAAATTAATCATTCATACAACATGTCCAAGAAAAATATCAACTTGGCTACCCAATCTTTCCTTCTTTAATGCATGACTGACTTGGTAGATTCGTGTTGTGGTGGTTTTTCCAATCAATTATCGTGTGCTGACAACAATACAATTTGTCTTTAGCCAGAGCCCATGCATGAGTCTAGTCTTAATAAGTATTGAGGTCTTACAAGCCTAGCTGAGGCTCTCTATACTAATATAATATGGTGTGATAAAATTTTATAATAACATATACTAACTAATTCCCATGTGTAGGACTTGGTGCAAATTACTCTTTCCTACAAGTCATCATATATACAGAAAATTCAGTTACCTACACCAAACTTCCTTTTTATTAATCCATGATTGTTCTAGCCTGGCAATGCGTATGTTTCTACTCTGAAGATGGGTTGATAGAAGACGGTGGTGTCGGCCCATGCAGTGTGCGCATGTGGTGCCCACTGAGAGTACACCGGACCGGTGTGTGACCCAGTCCTGGCATTGTGGCTTGGATGGGGTACCCGGCTTTAGATGTTAAGCTTTGGTACGATGTCTGTTTGGTATTAGGCTCGGACATTCGGCACCCCTTCATCAAGGGGATATGCGTAGCGACATATGTTGCCTAAATGGAGGCTTCAGGCTTACTGATTTATTAATTTGTAAGACCCTTGTGAATAATTAATAAAATGGATGCATGCATCGCTCAAATGCAGAGGTCGGGGGTATATCCTCATTTTCTGTTAAAGAAACTAAAAATATTAGCCAATGGCTAGTGGACAGTTGTAATGGGAGGCAGGGGCGGAGCCACGCCTTGGACCCGGCCCTTGAGCGTAGGTTTTCTCCCAGCTATTACTTATACTCTCTGTAGTCCTTTTTACTTCGCATATTACATTTCTGTCAAGTCAAACTTTGTAAAGTTTGACTGAATTTGTATTAAAAACACCAACGTCTATGATACCAAATATGTATGCTATGAAATTACATTTCATAATGAATCTAACAATTTAGATTTGGCATTTTGAATTTTGATACTTTTTTCTACAAGTGTTGTGAAAGTAGACTTACTTTGACTTTGGAAAACTTATACTATGCAGGACCGGAGAGAGTACTTAGATAGATTTTTGTATGTGCCCAGGTTCAGGCAGCCCAGCACAACCAAACAGGACAAGTGAATGGGTTGGGATATACAGCTAGCAAACGATCTTGTACATTTCCATGTCCACCTAGCTCTCCACCACTGAACACACGGGCACGACCAAGGCATGACCTAGCTCGCGAACTCCAATGCTCATGTGTCACCGTTCGCCAGCGGCCGCCCTCCTCCCTAGCACCCCTAGTAATTTTATTTACACCGAAAGAAATGTCAATGCAAACCAGGCATTTGCAGACTAGTACGAATGGATCAATAAGCCACTAGCCTTGCCTGCTCACATGGAATATTCTTATTCTTGCAATATTTAGCAGTAGTATAAGCTTATAAACATCTACTGCCTCCGTTTCAAAGTAATTTAATTTCTAACTTTATCCCAGGCCAAACTTCCTTGACAATTAGTAAACGGTCCATACAAAGTGTATTGATCCCATTATCTTGTTTGCACGGCCTTGAACATCATGTATGTATGACAAAGTTTTAGTATTTGACAAACTGTTTCAAAGTCCACTTGCCAAAATTACTTTCCCTCTCCTATCTAGTACATAGCTATCTTGTTGTTTTTGAATGTTGGTAGCTATCTTGTTGTTGGATGTGTGTATATATAGAGGTATCACTGCCCATCTATCGATCTCACTCACACATACAAGCGACAGGCAGACAGACAGACAGACAGAAGTTGTGCTGTGCTCTCTGCCTCTTGTTAGCGACCTTAGCAGGACCAGGCGGGATGGCGTCGTTCGGAGACGATGAGAAGCCTCCTTCTCCGAATGCAGGTACAGCTAGCTAACTTAAGTCAGTAGAGATGCATGCATGAATATTTCAACTCGTGGCCCCAATATATCTGATTGATTCATCAATGGAATGGAGTTATTGATCGAGGATTATTTATATGCCATGTGCCCTTGTGCAGGTAGCAAAGATGGGCTGGTGACCATGGCAATTCCGGCGTACAACAGGAAAGATGTGGGGCTGACCAAGGACACGGTGACGGCGATGGTGGAGATCAAGGCGACATCCTCCGCCGCCATGAGGGAGGGGCTGGACCTGGTGGCGGTGCTGGACGTGAGCAGGCACAAGATCGAGAGCGTGAAGAAGGCCCTGCAGTTCATCATCATGAAGCTCACCCGCGTGGACCGCCTCTCCATCGTCAGCTTCGATAGCACCGCGCGCAGGCTCAACCCGCTTCGCTGCATGACGCAGGCTGCCCAGACCGACCTCAAGGCCGTCGTCGACGGCCTGGAGGACGGCGGCGGCGCCGACATAATGGCCGGTCTCGAGCTGGGGCTGGCCGTCCTCCGCGGCCGCGTCCACACCGAATCCCGCACCGCCAACGTCTTCCTCATGTCCGACGGGCAGACGACCTCCGGCGACCCCAGGCAAGTTAACCCCGGCGAAGTGGCCGTCTACACCTTTGGCTTCGGCGCCGGCACGGACCACAAGCTGCTGAGCGACCTGGCCAACAAGTCTACTGGCGGGACGTACAGCGCGGTGCCCGACGGGACCAACCTCAGCGCGCCCTTCTCGCAGCTGCTCGGCGGCCTGCTCACGGTGGTGGCGCAGGACGTGCAGCTCACGCTTGAGCCCAACACCGCCGATGGCGACCTGGAGGAGATGGCCGTGGCCCCGGGCACGGACTACACGACGATCACTGACGACAAGAGCGGCCTTATCACCATCAAGTTCGGCACCCTCTTCAGCGGCGAAGCCCGCAAGGTGGCCGTCAACTTCATGCTCAGGGACAGCGACGAGACCGAAGAGTACGACGCCACCTTGGCCGAGGCACGGCACAGCTACGCCGGCCAGAAGACGCGCCAGTCTCTCGAGGCCATCCTCATTGTGCGCACGCCGAACCCAAGCTCTCCCGCCGACGCCGGTGTCGAGAACCGCTCGGTGCAGGCCGAGGAGTTGCGCCGGCTGCACGCCGACTCCATCAACGCCGCGAGCCTCCTTGCAGAGGCCGAGAGGCTGGAGGAGGCGCGGGAGAAGATCGTGGACGCGCAGAACGCGGTGGAGGACATCGTGCTGCTGAACGACGGGGAGAAGATGGTCAACGCGCTCCGCGCCGAGCTGCTGCAGCTGCTGGCCTTCATGGAGTCACAGGAGCTCTACAACCAGCGGGGACGCCCCTACGCCCTCGCCACCGTCACGTCCCACGGGCGCCAGCGCACCGCCCCGAGGGACGACGAGGGGGAGGTCAGGTGCCTCTATGCGGCGCCGCGCATGACCACCTACCTGGAGCAGGCCAAGAGGTCCGAGGAGAACCCCAAGGAGCCCGTGCCCTCCGCGGACGACGATCTCTAGTCTAGGAGATAAGAAAAACGCCACCCCTTCGCCGCCATCGCCGACGCCAGCAACAAATTATACTGTACTTTATCATTGCATGTATTTGTACGTCCTTACTTTCCCAGGCTTTCTGTTAATATAAACTGCATGTAATTGCTTGAGTTTGATTAATAAAGTTGCTTATCTACCAGTTCAAACAAACCCAGCCCATCTTTATAATACCCTCACGTATTTTAGAATTTTATTTTACTACAATCTGGTCAACGGACAAAATGGTAATCATCAAATCATCCAAAAATAAAACTATGAATTACATGTAAAAATATACAAGTATGTTAAAGAAACCAATGTCCGATTTTTAAGATTCCCGAGCAAAAATCCATTTTGCGCCCACGAGATTAGCTGCCATTTTTTAATGGAGAGTGCTTTTAGGTTGATTATTTTTAAAGAAGATTAATAGATAAATTAATCAGATCCACCAATTTATTTCAGAATTTTTGGAGTTACAGAAGTATACTTTTGATTCAAATTACTACATACTGTTCTGTTTTTGACAGATTCTGTTTTCTATGTGTTGTTTTCTTATTTTGATGAATCTATGAGTAGTGTCGGAGGGTATGAACCATAGAAAAGTTTGAATACATTAGATATTACACCAATATGAATTTAGAATGAGTTCACAACAGTACCTAAGTGGTGATTTATTTTCTTATACTAACAGAGCATACGAGTTTTCTGTTGAGTTTTGTACTGTGAAGTTCTTAAGTTTTGAGTAAAGATTCGATGGACTATGGAATAAGGAGTGGCAAAAGGCTAAGCTTGGGAATGCCCAAGGCACCCCAAGGTAATATTCAAGGACAACCAAGAGCCTAAGCTTGGGGATGCCCCGGAAGGCATCCCCTCTTTCGTCTTCGTTTATTGGTAACTTTACTTGGAGCTATATTTTTATTCACCACATGATATGTGTTTTGCTTGGAGCGTCTTGTATTATATGAGTCTTTGCTTTTTAGTTTACCAAAATCATCCTTATTGTACACACCTTTTGGGAGAGACGCATATGATTCGGAATTTATTAGAATACTCTATGTGCTTCACTTATATCTTTTGAGCTAGATAATTTTTGCTCTAGTGCTTCACTTATATTTTTTAGAGCACGGTGATGGTTTTATTTTATAGAAATTATTGATCTCTCATGCGTCACTTATATTATTTTGAGTCTTTTATAACAGCATGGTATTTGCTATGGTTATAAAATTGATCCTAGAATGATGGGCATCCAAGTTGGGTATAATAAAAACTATCATAGAAAGTGCATTTAATGCTATGATCAATTTTATGCTTAATAATTGTTTTGAGATATAAAGGTGGTAATGTTAGAGTCATGCTAGTTGGATAATTATGAAACTGAGAAATGCTTGTGTTGAAGTTGGCAAGTCCCATAGCATGTACGTATGGTAAAAATTGTGTAACAAATTTGTTGCATGGGGTGCTCTTTTGATTGCCTTCCTTATGTGTGGAGGTCGGGATCACGCGATGGTTAACTCCTACCAAACCTTCCTTTAGGAGCATGTGTAGTAGTACTTTGCTTCGAGGGCTAATAAACTTTTGCAATAAGTATATGAGTTCTTTATGACTAATGTGAGTCCATGGATTATACGCACTCTCACCCTTCCACCATTGCTATCCTCTATTATGCCACGCAACTTTCGTCGGTATCATACATCCACCATTTATCTTTCTCAAAACAGCCACCATATCTACCTATTATGACATTTCCATAGCCATTACGAGATATATTGCCATGCAACTTTCCACCGTTCCGTTTATTATGACACGCTCCATCATTGTCATATTGCTTTTGCATAATCATGTAGTTGACATCGTATTTGTGGCAAAGCCACCTTCATAATTCTTTCATACATGTCGCTCTTGATTCATTGCATATCTCGGTACACCGTCGGAGGCATTCATATAAGTCATATCTTGTTCTAGTATCGAGTTGTAATCCATGAGTTGTAAATCAATAGTGATGATCTTCATTATTAGAGCATTGTCCCAAAGTGAGGAAAGGATGATGAAGACTATGATTCCCCCAGAAGTCGGAATGAGACTTCGGACTTTATAACAATAAAAGAGGCCAAAGAAGGCCAAATAAAAAAAGAGGCCAAAGAAGCCCATCTCAAAAAAAGAGAAAAGAGAGATGGGACATTGTTACTATCCTTTTTCCACACTTGTGCTTCAAAGTAGCACCATGATCTTCATGATACAGAGTCTCCTATGTTGTCACTTTCATATACTAGTGGGAATTTTTCATTATAGAACTTGCCTTGTATATTTCAATGATGGGCTTCCTCAAAATGCCCTAGGTCTTCGTGAGCAAGCAAGTTGGATGCACACTCCACTAGTAGAAAAAAGGTCTAATGTGCAGCTCATTAGTCCAGGTTTGAAAGTAAGCCGGCACTAATGTGACCATTAGTGCCGGTTCCAACGGCTGGGCGGGCCGCTCCCTTTAGTACCGGTTCGTGCGGAACCTTTAGCACCGGTTCGTGCCACGAACCGGTACTAAAGGGTGTGGTGGCAGGATATTGTCAGACTGGGGCCCGTCCAGCACCTTTAGTACCGGTTCTTGCCACGAACCGGTACTATAGGTCGTCCTGCATATAAACCCTTCGTCCAGCTCGCTCTGTTCTCCCCCCCCCCCTTTCCCCTCTCCTCCTCCCTGTTCTTCCTCTTCTCCCCTCGAGCTCATCACACATTTTGCCCAAATTTTGTCAAGATTTGAAGGCCCCCCATCCATTCAAGTGATCACAAAGGTTAGCAACTTTGTCCTTTCATCTCTCATTGCTAGATTAGCTCTTGCAATGCTTTATATAGTGATTAATTTGTGGGGTTTAGTAATTTGGGAGGAATTATATGTGGTACTATATTTTATTTATATGCAATTTGAGCTTAAAATAACTCTTAGTTTGCATATGTAGGTGTGGTTTACTTAGTGCCTTCCCGTCTCCGTCGTAAGCACCGTCGATCGTCCGTCCCGACCCGCCGCTGGCACCACCTTGTGGTGAGCCTGTTGTTCTTATCTTTTTTATATAAAAAAATCATGTTTGTGTGATTTAGATATATAGTTACTTGTATAATTAGCTTACCCGTACGTTGTTTTTTATATATAGTGCCATGGTTTTGATATCCGTCCCCGTCGGCCCTCGTCCGTGTTATGATTCGGATGTGGTATATTCTCTTTTAAAACTATTTGTTGCATTTCGTGTTTATGACAAATTGTGCCCATCAAGTTGACATAGATATTTTTATCCTGGAGGTATGTGAACCGGAAATTCCAACCGACCCTATTGTCGAGAGGTTAAATTTAGTTGAAAGAGAAAACGAGTATTTGAAAGAAAAATTGAAAAGAATTGAGGGGGAGAAGATGGAATTGGAGTTTCATGTTGCCGATGTCGTCGATGATCACAAGATCAAGATGAAGAAAATGCGGTTGAAGATTAGAAAGATTAGAAAATATGCCATTGATAGTGTGCCTTGGTATCATTATGATGTTGGATCAATTGTTACCTTAGTTGCAATCTTGATCGCATTTGTTGTTGCATTTAAATTCTTTAGCTAGAGAGTTATTTGTATGTTGCATTTAAGTGTTGTATATGAACTTTATGTATGAACTTGTATTAATTTGGTCTATTCGGTGGTGTGTAATGAAGATGCGCCGGCAATGGATGTACGATGACCGATGCTCTCCCCAGTTCATTGATGGCGTGCATTGCTACGTCTTGAGCTAGCGTTGGTTTTCCCCGAAGAGGAGAGGGTGATGCAGCAAGTGTAGCGTAAGTATTTCCCTCAGTTTTTGAGAACCAAGGTATCAATCCAGTAGGAGGCTCCTCAAAAGTCCCACGCACCTACACAAACAAACTGAGAACTCGTAACCAACGCAATAAAGGGGTTGTCAATCCCTTCACGGCCACTTGCGAAAGTGAGATCTGATAAAGATAGTATGATAAGATAAATATATTTTTGGTATTTTATAATATAGATGCAAGAAAGTAAAGATGCAAATAAAAGTAGATTGAAAGCAAATATGATAAGAGATAGACCCGGGGGCCATAGGTTTCACTAGAGGCTTCTCTCGAGAGCATAAGTATTACGATGGGTGAACAAATTACTATCAAGCAATTGATAGAAAAGCGAATAATTATGACATTATCTAGGCATAATCATGTATATAGGCATCACATCCAAAACAAGTAGACCGACTCCTGCCTGCATCTACAAATATTACTCCACACATCGACCGCTATCCAACATACATTTAGAGTATTAAGTTCATAAGAACGAAGTAACGCATTAAGCAATATGATATGATGTAGAGGGATAAACTCATGCAATATGATATAAACCCCATCTTGTTATCCTCGATGGCAACAATACAATACGTGTCTTGTAACCCTTTCTGTCACTGGGTAAGAACACCGCAAGATTGAACCCAAAGATAAACACTTCTCCCATGGCAAGAAAGATCAATCTAGTAGGCCAAACCAAACCGATAATTCGAAGAGACTTGCAAAGATAACTCAATCATACATAAAAGAATTCAGAGAAGATTCAATTAATAACCATAGATAAATCTGATCATAAACTCACAATTCATCGGATCTTGACAAACACACCGCAAAAAGAGATTACATCGAATAGATCTCCACAAGAGAGGGGGAGAACATTGTATTGAGATCCAAAAAGAGAGAAGAAGCCATCTAGCTAATAATTATGGACCCGTAGGTCTGTGGTAAACTACTCACAACTCATAGGGGGGGCAAGGATGTTGATGTAGAGGCCCTCCATGGTCGATTCCCCCTCCGGCAGAGTGCTGGCGAAGGCTCCAAGATGGGATCTCGCGGATACATAAGGTTACGGTGGTGGAAATTGTGTTTCGTGGTGCCCCTAGATGTTTTCGGGGTCCGTAGGTATATATAGGAGGAAGAAGTACGTCGGTGGACGCCCGAGGGGCCCATGAG